ACTACAGTTTAAATGTAGCTGAGAGTTTAGGCCCCGTTCTCGGTTGTTCCAAACCCTGTTAGTAACATGCAATGTCAGGTCATACAGTGTAATAGTCTGAGCCAATGTGAGATGACAGGGCAGGGCTGTTCCCTCCCCCGCTTTGCATTTGACTCTCAGAAGTTTTTCCAGCAGCTAGAAGCGCGGAAAGGTTTTGCAGAGTGTGTGGGAGACTTGTTCCTCACACCTGAACGTACCTAGCATCAAACAATCAACCCCCGTGGACTCCCCCCCTCTCCCCCTTCATCGGGTCCCATTGTGCTGCAGAGCCTGCGAACTGTTCCATGGCATCTTTCCAGGGCAGTGACTTCATGGGCCAGATGTCTTGTTCCACATGGCAGTGACCCTTTCCAGCGTGACGTCAAGCTTGATTGAGGTGTTTATTTATTTATTTAGCATGTAGTGTGCGTGGGCTGTCGGCCAGGTTTCTTAGTATGCAGGCAGCATCCTTGCTGCCCGCTCTCCTCTGTCTGTAAAAACAAAATGGCTCTCAGAATACCCTGTTGGACCTTTATCAAGAGCCAGTGGTTTAAGCATGGAATTACGAAGTCTTTTCCCACATGGCTGGACACAGTCTGCTTGTTGCAGTGAGAGGGTGAGAGAGAGATGGTCGAAGAGGGAAGGGAGCTGCAGCAGTTCCAGAAGGGAATAACTGACGGATGTAAACTTCTAGTCACCCTCAGTAAATCAAAAGGACAGTGACATACTCAAGCTTGGGGTAAAAAGAAACAAACCCTCTCCAAACCCGGTTAGGGTTTACACTATAGTCCCTCCTTGACACTTTTCCTCCTCCTTCCATCTATCTAACCAGGTCCTTAGATTACTAGTATGCGTTATTTTTATTACAATAGTGCCCAATGAGGATCAGGGCCCCACTATGCTAGGCACTTCACCAACACATCCTAAGAAACAGCTCTGGTGCCAAAGAGCTTACAGTCCAAATAGACAAGGGGTGGGCAAAAACTAGGCTTATTATTCCCATTTTACAGAGAGGGAAATGGAGATTAAGTGACTTGCCCAAGGTCACACAGGGGCTCTGTGGCAGAGAGAAGAATTTAACACAGATTTCCTGTCTCCCACTCCAGTGTCTGAACCAAACGACCATCATTCTGTTCCTATTGGACACCATCACCACAGTATCTGAGTGTTAACCCCATAAGCACTTTTCTGCTCCCCAGTTCTGTTGACAATTGTACTCTATTTTATAACTGGTTTATGGCCCTCAACACTGATCCCTAAATCATTGCAAATCTTTTTCACGGTCATACATGAGGGGAAGAAACAACAGCTGCTTGGAAGATCTATGTATGCGGAACAGACCCTCATCATGAGGCATCCTATAATAAGGCTTCTAACAATACACTGCTTCTAGCCTCCTTTGGCAATCAAATCCAATTATACTTCACAATGCTCCACACCACCAACTCAATGCAACATTCGTCCGGCACCTTGCGCTTGATAGGGACCATCTGCTGAGAGGAAAATCCTTTTTTTTTTGCTGCTTTTTTCCCATTTAAATATGTACAGATCTATAGATTGGTGGGTAAACCTTGTTCCTGTTAAGCATCTTGTGGAGACATGCACAGTCTCAAGTTCCAGTAAACAAACATAATTACCTTGAAAGACCAGTTTTTAGAGCATTTGCATGCAATCCCCAATAGATACTAATGCTTTCATCTATCTGGCATGCAGAGCCTTTTATTGCTTAACTAATACCGTCGCCTGTGAAATACAGGAAGAGATTTCTGACTTGTTACTGTCAATAAGGGAACCTCAAGAGGAAATGGGGCCCGGGTCGAGATTATATGAATGAAGGCCCCATTATCGCCCTCATCCATGCGGGTTTATAAAGTAACCATCTCAGACCAGTTCTGTCCTTGCTGTGACTCAGTGGGTTCACATCTCAGGGGCAGATCTGGCCCCTTTTTTAGGATTGATACCCACAGATCTATTGCCAAATCTTGAGGCTCATTCAGGCAAGACTCCCACTAGAGTATTAAGGGCCAGATTCTGCCACTCTTACTCATGCTGAGTAGTACCTTACTCTGGGAGCAATCCCATCCAGGTCAATGGGGCTACTTGCTGAGCCAGGTGCTATTCAGTGTGAATAAAGGTGTCAAAGCATGGCCTTAATTTTGGGAGGCCCAGAGAAGAACCAAGGAGCAGGATCACTCCTTCCTGGGGCAAAAACCCATGAGGGGTCAGGGAAGGAAAGAACCACAAGGCATCTAAGGCTCCCTGATGGAGGCTTCCTGTAGTTTCTAGCCACGGGGTCAGGGTTTGCCTCTTGTAGACTAG